TTTGCAGTAGGGAGAATTTGAGAGTCTGTGGAACATATGAGGTGGGGCATGGCTAAGTCCAATGACAAACAGAGAAGACATTATGGCCCTTTAGCTTGCAGAAGCCAAGGTCAGAAGCATGCTCAACTCTCTGGCAGCCATGCACGTCCTAAACACTTCTTGGCCAGAATAGTCTTCTGTCTTGACAACAGAGAAAGGGTGTCAGTTATGGCCAAATAGGCCAAGGTTAGGCCTGCAGAAGAACACTGTGACCCTAGTTTTGACATTGGACCCCAGTTTGATCATTCAGTCCCCTGAAGCAAATTTGGTTTAAAGAGAGGGGCTTGGCAGGGGTGACCTTCTAGCCCAAGTCCTCTCTGGTGTCCTCATATTCATTCTAGGCTGTAGGCCAGGGGTAGAACAGCATGACAGTCAGCAGACCAATGAGGGGACAGCATGCAGGACACTCACCAGCCACTTGTCCCTGGCAAAGATCACTGTGTTGAGCATTGACTCATAGAACAGACAGTAGCCCATCCACTCACTGATGATGATGTCCACCTTCTCCACAGGCAGCTCCACCTCTTCCACTTTGCCCTTAAATATGGTGATGACTGCAAAATAGGAACCCAAGGCCATGCTTTGCAGGCACCCTAGCCAGAAACCATGAGCACCCATGTCAGGGCTGCGCCTACAGATTTCAGCTCTGTTCCGATCCCGCTCTTAGGATGTGACATTCCTCACCCTTCACCAACCTAGCTTTGCTAAGAGAATTGAAAAGTACTTGCCTGTTTCCCCCTAAAATGTATGGAGCAGTAACTACGTGCCTGGCACTCTGCTAAGCCCATGAAATGCACCATATCCTGTAATCTCCCCAATAACGCTATGCAGTAGGCACATCATGATTATTCTCATCTAAAACTAAGGAAGCTGAGGCTCAGAGAGGCTAAATGATGCTGTGGAAAGAGACCAGGTCAAGTATGCTATGAGGCTGACACACTCTCATCCTGGTTCCCACCCTGTGTTAGGCTACCAGGATGATTCTAATCCGAAGGGCAGGGACGCCCTCCCTCTATGACTCTTGTGTCTGTTCACAACCAGGGCCTAACCCTCAGTGGGTGCACATCCACCAGCGGGTGCTCACCCCCTGATGGGTTCATGAGGAAGGCAACTTCTTGTTTTGACAAGAGCATGGGCTCAGAAACCTCGGTTTAGGTGCCAGATCTTCTCATTATTACCTTTATGACTTTCCACAAGTTACTGTACCTAACCAAACTCCAGTTCCCCAGAGAATAACCAGGAAAAGTCATATCGACTTAGCGGGTGACTGTACCCGATGAGATAACACATGTGAAGTGCCAGGCTCTCGGCCAGGGCTCCACAGAAGGCAGCCCTCACTTGGCATTGCTCCCGCCGCCAGCTGATGGAGAGGTAAAGGGGATTAGGACCCGGATAAAGCCCCTGCTCTAAGTGGCCTCTGCTCTGAGTCACTTCCAAGACCTTCCCATTCCTCTGTGAAGAGAGAAACTGTTGGGTTGTGGTTTTCTTTTTTTTTTTTTTTGTATCATTTGACATAGAGGTACACATATATACATAATTGTGGTGTCTCTCTTTGCATCCATTGCTGTAAAGATCATAGCAAAAGCTATCTTAGATGCCACTGTGAAATTAACAGGGTGATGTATTGGTTGGCCGGCTCCATCTGAACATTTCCTCTACTCTGGAGCTCTTTCTGCACCATGTTCTGAAAAATCACACAATGACTGAGCTTGCAGGGAAAACTGAATAATGGCCTGTACTTAGGAGTTAAAAAAAAAAAAACATAGGAAAACCTGCATCTGCCCTGAATCTGAGTTTTGTGAAAATTAATTTGGATTGGAGTCTCCTAAGAGACAAAGAGCACACAGGTCACTGACCATCGGCTCTGATCACACTAGAGGGAGGCCCAGACTTGGGTGGCCTTCCTGGTTCCTGTCCCCAAGCCCCGACGCTAAGAGGGAAGAGCAGGGAGGGCTAGTCTCTCCAAAAGGTTTGGAAGCAGAAGGAGGCATAGGTGCCAAAGCTCAGCTTCTTTGGGGGCTCTGAGACCCCAGCGGGAGGAACTCAAGGAAAAGCAGGGCCCAGGATGAGCCAAGAGAATTCACAAGGGGACAGTGTAAGGGATTTTTGAAAATGCAACTAGAGTACCTAATTATATTTCTTACTCTGAAAAAGAATTGACTAGTATATGCCTGATCCACCTGTCTAACTATTTGCATGCAAAACCTGGTTTGTCTTTTGTAAATTTTTTTTTACATACCACATTGTATTAGTGTCTTGTGCACAAGGTAGTAATTAGACATATTGTATACATGGCTAACTTGTCACCCCAAGAAGTGTAGTTACCATATCTCCTGGCCCCTGCAGTGTGAGCAACTCTGTGGGGGCTGAGGGGCTGCCTCAGAATGCAGGCACAGGAAATAAAGCAAGTGCCACTAGGTGCCCCTTACAGTTTCTCCTCTGGACAGAAGGGGAGGTGTTTACAACAGTTCCACGCATTTTAGGAACAACGTCAACTCCTTGTATAAAGTAGGCTGGGGCCAGAGACTAGAACTCAGGGAGGTGGGAATGGAGGTGGACGAGACAACAACAGAGCCCCCAGAGGCCCTGCCCCTCAGTCCTCCAGCTGCAGGCACTGCAGAGTCCATAGGAGGCCTTCCTTTCCATCTCAGCAGTGAGGGAGCAGGTGCCCATCCTTCTGATTCTCAGCAGGTTATAGATTCATGTATTGGGTGAGACCCATGTGTTGCATAAGAAATCAAATAGAATACCTACCAAGTTTTCTCCCAGTTTTGAGATTCTGTAAATTTCCTCCATAATAGAATTTTTTTTAAATGATTGCTGGAGAGGAGAGGGGAGGGGAGGGGAACAAAGGGGTGGGGAAGGGAGAGGCAGAAGATGCTTGCCTAACAATTCACTTCCTGAAAGCGGCTGGGCATGTTTCACTTTCCTGCCCCACTTTAAGATGTTTCTTTTTTAGCTGGCTCTTGCGCCAACTGCAATTTGCTTGCAATTGTTTCCTTTAGCAATCATAAAGCAACCTTTATGCTTTACTTTTGATTTAGAACTCAGAGTCACCAAAATCTCTGTTTATTGGAAACAGATTTCTAAATGGGCTTGCTTCCTTTACTGAAAACAAAAACAGATCATTAAAAAAAAGCCATTTAAATAGAAAACTAAGTATTTTAAATTAATTAAAAATGTTTAGTTTGATTTTTGGTTTTTGTTTTGGGGGGCTTGACAGAGTTTCCAAGACACACATTCCACAGAAGAAATGGGGCTCACTTCTAATTTTCTTTCTTTTCCAGAAGCTATGAAAATTGCAATGGGAAGTGCAAAATTAAATCACATGATCTCTAGTCCTGGACTAGCACCTGTGTAGCTGCAGCTGCCCTCCTAGGGCCTCTCGGGGCTGCCCAGTCCTCTCCAGCCCCAGCTGGCTCATTACAATGTGCATGTGGCAGAGGTTCCCAAATGCAATCCAGGAAAGGGAAGACGGTATGGCATGTTTGCTTTTAAATCATGAGGAAGTCCTTAAAGAGTTATGCCCAGGGTCATGGAGCTTAATACATATTTAAGTGTGCTTAGGAATGAAGAACGTGCCTGAAGGTTCTCCTCAAAACTGTACTACTCAGTACAGTTACACAGCAAGAACTCCAAAAGCAGCATTATAATGCAGCTCCAGGGGAAAAATATGTCCTATTTATACGTGCATTTGATCAATGCTCACTGTTGAGTTGTTCTGCAATCTACCATGAGAGCACATCTGTCCTAGATTCAGAGCCGCTGGAGGCCAGCAAACTCGGCAGTCAGGCTTGCTCACAAGAACCACTTAACTCCATGCTTTGATGTTTAATTACAGAAGGGTGTGAACACACACGTATACACATTCTGTAGCACAATCCAGCTGAGGTATTATTAGCAGCAGTAACGTCAGGTGGCAATTGTGTGAAATCAAAGGATCAATGATTTGTTGAACTACTGAACCTCAGCCTCACAGGCAAGGGTGTTCACTCATCTGGTGCATCTGTGGCTGGCTCCACGGTAATCGTTCCAGGGGCCTGACCACGGTGGGGGCGGGGGCCCAAGATCTGGGCCCATTGGACTATTGGGAGCTTCTCCCTCGTGCTTTGGGCCAGTCATGTGCATGCTCGCATGTGTGAGGGGCTCTATGCTCCTCTGTTGTATTTAGTTCTAGCTGAAGGGACATGGCCATTTCTAACCTTCCAAAAACATATTTGACATAATCTTGTTGAGAACCACACTTGCGTCACTGAGAATGTTACCCTTTAAATTAAATATGAAAAAAACAGCCCTTTTGGACCAGATGAAACATGGAAAGACTTTTGTTTGTTTGTTTTTTGCTTTTTGCTTTTTTTCCTAAGGGACATGTTTTCAGCTGCTAAAGCATTATGAATACAGATTTGGGCACAGTCTCCAATACACATGCGCACGCGGTCTCCACTACTCCTCACCCACTGTCATCCAGGCCCCAAAAGAGCTCAGAGAATGATACATATCTTACTTAAACTGAAGGAGAATCTATGTCATTTTGATAAGTGCGTGGCATGGAATGGTCGAACTCAGAATGATTTGCCTGGCTGGGGATCTGCCATCTCTAACTCTTGTGGTGGACTTTTGGGGTAACTGAGCCCTGACAGCCTGCTATTCTTGGAAAAAAACTCAGGTTCTCTGCAAAAACTCAGTTTCTGCTGCTGCAGTTCATTTTTCTACTCACAATGCATTATTTGCTCATCCAGAACATGTACCTTATAGCAGCCATATTGCTTGTTTGCTGTCTGTAGACCTCCCACCCTTGAGATTACAGGAAAACATTTAGAGAGAAAAATCCAAAAGGGGTCAAGGTAAACTGCTCCACAGGCACAGCAGCAGTGTGGATGAGACCAGCTGCTCACCTCAAGCCCACCTCAATCACACAAAGAAAAACAAAAAACCCAACAGAGCATCAAAAGACGACTTACAGTGGATTTTGAAGTCCTTGTACTGTCTGTCTTCAATCGCTACCACGTACAAAGCTGCCCGGTCTGGAAACATAAGCCCTCCAGGTTTCTGTTGATGAATGGTGGGGAAATGGGTCTTGTAATCTATTCACCTGACAAAGACATCACAATTTGAACTGCAAATAGAGTAAGTCACCAGACAGGCACCTCCTTACTAGCATTTTTCATTCAACGAACTGTCACTTTGGTCAGGGTTAGGGTTAGGGTGGCAATGCTCAACTTTCATTTTGCAGTAGGGAGAATTTGAGAGTCTGTGGAACATATGAGGTGGGGCATGGCTAAGTCCAATGACAAACAGAGAAGACATTATGGCCCTTTAGCTTGCAGAAGCCAAGGTCAGAAGCATGCTCAACTCTCTGGCAGCCATGCACGTCCTAAACACTTCTTGGCCAGAATAGTCTTCTGTCTTGACAACAGAGAAAGGGTGTCAGTTATGGCCAAATAGGCCAAGGTTAGGCCTGCAGAAGAACACTGTGACCCTAGTTTTGACATTGGACCCCAGTTTGATCATTCAGTCCCCTGAAGCAAATTTGGTTTAAAGAGAGGGGCTTGGCAGGGGTGACCTTCTAGCCCAAGTCCTCTCTGGTGTCCTCATATTCATTCTAGGCTGTAGGCCAGGGGTAGAACAGCATGACAGTCAGCAGACCAATGAGGGGACAGCATGCAGGACACTCACCAGCCACTTGTCCCTGGCAAAGATCACTGTGTTGAGCATTGACTCATAGAACAGACAGTAGCCCATCCACTCACTGATGATGATGTCCACCTTCTCCACAGGCAGCTCCACCTCTTCCACTTTGCCCTTAAATATGGTGATGACTGCAAAATAGGAACCCAAGGCCATGCTTTGCAGGCACCCTAGCCAGAAACCATGAGCACCCATGTCAGGGCTGCGCCTACAGATTTCAGCTCTGTTCCGATCCCGCTCTTAGGATGTGACATTCCTCACCCTTCACCAACCTAGCTTTGCTAAGAGAATTGAAAAGTACTTGCCTGTTTCCCCCTAAAATGTATGGAGCAGTAACTACGTGCCTGGCACTCTGCTAAGCCCATGAAATGCACCATATCCTGTAATCTCCCCAATAACGCTATGCAGTAGGCACATCATGATTATTCTCATCTAAAACTAAGGAAGCTGAGGCTCAGAGAGGCTAAATGATGCTGTGGAAAGAGACCAGGTCAAGTATGCTATGAGGCTGACACACTCTCATCCTGGTTCCCACCCTGTGTTAGGCTACCAGGATGATTCTAATCCGAAGGGCAGGGACGCCCTCCCTCTATGACTCTTGTGTCTGTTCACAACCAGGGCCTAACCCTCAGTGGGTGCACATCCACCAGCGGGTGCTCACCCCCTGATGGGTTCATGAGGAAGGCAACTTCTTGTTTTGACAAGAGCATGGGCTCAGAAACCTCGGTTTAGGTGCCAGATCTTCTCATTATTACCTTTATGACTTTCCACAAGTTACTGTACCTAACCAAACTCCAGTTCCCCAGAGAATAACCAGGAAAAGTCATATCGACTTAGCGGGTGACTGTACCCGATGAGATAACACATGTGAAGTGCCAGGCTCTCGGCCAGGGCTCCACAGAAGGCAGCCCTCACTTGGCATTGCTCCCGCCGCCAGCTGATGGAGAGGTAAAGGGGATTAGGACCCGGATAAAGCCCCTGCTCTAAGTGGCCTCTGCTCTGAGTCACTTCCAAGACCTTCCCATTCCTCTGTGAAGAGAGAAACTGTTGGGTTGTGGTTTTCTTTTTTTTTTTTTTTGTATCATTTGACATAGAGGTACACATATATACATAATTGTGGTGTCTCTCTTTGCATCCATTGCTGTAAAGATCATAGCAAAAGCTATCTTAGATGCCACTGTGAAATTAACAGGGTGATGTATTGGTTGGCCGGCTCCATCTGAACATTTCCTCTACTCTGGAGCTCTTTCTGCACCATGTTCTGAAAAATCACACAATGACTGAGCTTGCAGGGAAAACTGAATAATGGCCTGTACTTAGGAGTTAAAAAAAAAAAAACATAGGAAAACCTGCATCTGCCCTGAATCTGAGTTTTGTGAAAATTAATTTGGATTGGAGTCTCCTAAGAGACAAAGAGCACACAGGTCACTGACCATCGGCTCTGATCACACTAGAGGGAGGCCCAGACTTGGGTGGCCTTCCTGGTTCCTGTCCCCAAGCCCCGACGCTAAGAGGGAAGAGCAGGGAGGGCTAGTCTCTCCAAAAGGTTTGGAAGCAGAAGGAGGCATAGGTGCCAAAGCTCAGCTTCTTTGGGGGCTCTGAGACCCCAGCGGGAGGAACTCAAGGAAAAGCAGGGCCCAGGATGAGCCAAGAGAATTCACAAGGGGACAGTGTAAGGGATTTTTGAAAATGCAACTAGAGTACCTAATTATATTTCTTACTCTGAAAAAGAATTGACTAGTATATGCCTGATCCACCTGTCTAACTATTTGCATGCAAAACCTGGTTTGTCTTTTGTAAATTTTTTTTTACATACCACATTGTATTAGTGTCTTGTGCACAAGGTAGTAATTAGACATATTGTATACATGGCTAACTTGTCACCCCAAGAAGTGTAGTTACCATCTGTCACCATACAAAGTCGATACAATGTTATGGACGGTACTCCCCAGGCAGTACATTGCATTCCCCTGACTTAGTTATTTTATAACTGGAAGTTTGTACCTCTCGATCCCCTTCACCCTATTCACCCCCAGCCCTGACCCCCTTCCCTCTGGCAACCACCACTTTATTCTCTGTATCTGAGTCTGAGTTTTATTTGTTTGCTTTGCATTTTAGATTCCACATATAAGTGAAACTATGTGGTATCTGTTTTTCTCTGTCTGACTTATTTACTTAGCATCATGCCCTCAAGGTGGCCTCCCTTCCTTTCCTCCTCGCACATTTTTTGAGGGCTAACATCTGCTTGCGTCTATGGGGCTCTGGCTCAGTTCCTCCTCCTGCATTAGAGCATGGCCTCCCTGTAGCTCAGGAAGATATCTCCTTTCTGATGTTCTTGCCCCACAACCTCCACCTGGGAGCCTAGAACAAGGTTCACCCGTGATGACTCCATAGACAGGACTCGGGAGGACTGTAGGAAGCAGAGATGGATGAGCACTTACAGCCTAGCCTGACAGCTGGGTACAGAATGTTCCTTGGGTGCCTGCGGAGTGAGTGGATGCACCCCTGTTCTCCACACTTGCCCCTCACCCACTGACGGCTGTAGCCTGATAAACACACGTACAACAGGTAATAGGTTGGTAGGTACCTACAGGCATATATACACACACATACAGTGGGTCACAGAACAGCAAAAATCACACTGTTTCTGCTACAAAAGGGCTGAAATCAATTAACTCTATAAAACACTCAACACTGTAGACCTCTGTTGACTTACCCTTGTGCATCTAAGCATTTCTCAGAGCAGATGCGGCTTGGTGAGCAAATGAGCCCTTTTGTGAAAGGTCAAAGGTAAACACCCTTCAGTCCAGCTGGGAAGGGGATTTCAGACCCCTCTCTTCCCTTTGCCCAGGTGCTTTTGTGCAGTGCCCAACCTTCACAACCTTATGCTGAGGTCCTAGAGGCAGACAACTTACATTTTGGTTTCAGTTGACAACTAACCTTGATCAAACAGTTCTTCTTATGGTCCCAATTTTCTTATGGTGTGGGGGGCAGCAGGAGGAAGAGGACTGAACTTGAAAGTCCCTAAGATCCTTTACAGGGCCAAAATGGCTTGATTGTTCAAATATGTATCAAACATGTATAAGGCATTCTGCAAAGTTTATTGGCAGCGAGACAGCTGACATAGAGAAAGAATCAGAATCAGATCTGCAAAATGCTCTCTTGTGGTGAGGTTTACGGCAACTGATTGGGGGCCATTGGCCAGTGAAAGGCACTGAGTTGGCTCAAAGCACTGTGTGGGCATGCAGAGCTTCAGGTGTCCTTCTTCCATGTTGAGCCTTTTCCAGGGGATATTATCCACTGGTATTAAGGTTCTGAGCACTGTGGGCTGCAGAATGCCACCCCCCAGGTGGACCCCACGGCACCAAATCTGTGTCAACTTGAGGTTGCATTAGAGGCCCTCTCTGTAGCTGTGTTTCGTTTCCATAAGGGTGATGGAAAATTTGTTCGAATAACTGTGACAGGACCCTGGCTTGTAAGTTTTGGAATGGTTAATCATAACTAAGCATGCAACAGGGAGCAATAAATCGTAATTTGGGAGGTTTCCTTTGTAACTTCAAGTTTGCGAATCAGACATCCAGATTTCTTGGGTGGGGGGGGTGTTTTTAGTAGTATTTTTTTTCTTTTTAATTTTGACCAGTTATTACAGAGATTTAGTCATTGTGATTCACGGTCACTAGGTCGATTTTCTGTTCTGACACATCAGTGCGCCCACCAGGGCCAGCTGCCCGCACTGAGCCTGATGTCGGCGGTCTCCCCGCTTTAGACTCCTCACAGTGCTGGGGCGCATCCTGTCCCACAAAATGGTGGGCATGAGGGTCATGACTATGCAGACAGGGGGCACAGCATGGGGCACTGGAGCCCTCCACCTCAGAGTGACCTCTCGGCTCCCTTTTCCTGTTGCTCACATACCTATTTTGGGGGTGCCCACACTGGCAACCACATCCCTTCTGGGGACCTGACCTCGAGCCTAGAATCTCCTCCTTAGTTGTCTATTTCCTCTTCCTATTTCCAGCAGACCACCTGACTGCTCACAAACACAAACCATCGCTGAATGAATGGATGGATGAATAAGCAATTTTGAGAAAAGGGTATTGGGTTCAAAGGCAAAAGATCTTCAAGCTAGTCCTGATCATGATGGCAAAATGCCTGGCATGTGAGCAGCAGCTTGCAGAGTGATGTCACGTATATTATCTCAGCAACCCTCACAGGAGCCTGCGTGACTGGTTTTATTCCATCTGTCTAACGAGAGGACTGGGATTTAGAGAAGTCAAAGGGTGCAGTCAAAACCTAGCCAGGTTGTGTGGATTGGCACACATCACCAGCCTCCCTGAGATTCTTTTCCTTCATCTACAAAGGGATACAGTGTCTGACTTACCTACCTCATGGGATTGTTGTGGACACCAAGCAACCACTCAGGATCATGGGAGAAGAGAAATCAGAGAAGGCCAGGGACTAACCCAGTCCTCTCCTGGAGGCCAGTCAAGCTGGTCAGCAGGGGGAGAAGGGGTAGAGCCGTGTGAACAGCCGGGGTGAGCAGGGGTCTATCAACCACCCTGAGGCAGCCCTTCCCCAGCCTCCCACCCTCTCCTCCTTCTGGGTCGGGATGCCCAGACCAGCTTCTCTCACAAGGTCAGACCAGCCTGAGTCAGTGCAGCTGGGAGAAAGGGCCAGCCCACCCCCTTCCCTTCAGCACCTGCTGGCACTTGGAATACGTCCTGTGAACAGAGCCCATAAGCGGAGCAGCATGGATGGGCCTGGGGTGCTGTGCAGCCTCAGCAGAGCAGGAGCTTCAGTATGGCACCCCTTTCATTCCCGAATCCCTGTTCCCCCAAGAACACAGAGTTTGGGCTTCTGCCTTGCCCCAGGTGCACAAGCTGCCTGGCTTCATGTCCCAGCTGGCTCTGGCTGTCCTGAGAGCCGAGGGCCCAGTCTGCTTAGCTGAGCTCTGAAGTCCGGCCAGCTTTGGTAAGAGCCCTTCTCTGGCCAGAGATCCTGCTTGGCATGTCTCCTTCCCCTACAATGGCTGGACTAATGCCCGGGTACTCCAAACCACACCAGGTTATTGCCCACCACTTAAAGCCCCCAGAATGGCACAGCTGGGCATGTGCCCAAACCCCAGGCCACCGGC